CTTTGCGGTTGCTGAATTCCGTTATGAGTCACGACCGTAGTTTAATAGGAACATGGACTGAAGTAACTCGGGCCGCCAGGGGGGTCACCGTCGCTCATTCCGTAGGACTTTTGTGTTTTTTGGGAGGGGAGATGGGACGGAGGGCAGAAGTGCCAGGCGTGGAGGGACACACGCACCGGATGGCCCCATTTAGATTACCCTGTTGATTACGACGGTTGTCCGGATGTTATTTCCGTGCTGGGCAGGACTTCTTGAAGTCACAGATGGTAGCTGTCTGCGCCCGTTTTTGTACCTGATCTTATCCTTCTGGATGATGTCGCGTGTGCCACTTTACCATCCGTGAAAACTGCCAGCAATGTGTCTGCGGAAGGGTCCCTTCGTCAACGGTAATTAATGTAACTTCCACATAATGAACTGGGAATGACCCGACACTTGCCGGCGCATCTCAATCTGACCATTTTCACACATTTCGGAGACAACTGTCGGTGCTGCCACGCAAAATCTCAGAAGACATGTGTTACGGATGGCCGAGTGCTCTTGGATGAACATGGCCACGTGCTGCCGTCCAAATGCTAGTTGGTTGTACGCCGATGAACGAGGACGGCGTACTATTGTTAATCGTCCTTGGCATCTGCAGAATTCTAGACTTTTGTTTGGTAGGAAAATGACCTGAGTAAGCTCGGGCTGCCAGTCGGATCACTGTCGCTCTCTCCGTAGGACTTTTGTTTTTTTGGGGGGGGCGGGGGGAGGTAGTGGAACGGGGGTCAGGAGTGCCAGGCGTGGAGGCACACACGCACCAGACAGCCTCGTGTAGATTGCCCTGTCGATTAGGACGGTTACCTGGATGTGGTTTCCGTGCTGGGCAGGACTTCTTGGAGTTACCGATGGTGGTTCAGTCCCAGTTAGTGGACGTGTAGAGCAACCTGCATTTGCACCAGGCTCATGAACGACGTATCACCCCCAACGAGATTCATCCCACAAGTGAACATTACACATCCAAAGATCTGAGGCCCAGTCACCTACGAGTGAAAAGCTAGACAACTGGACGCATTTCTCCTCAGATTCCAACGAGAGAACTGAAAACCTGCTTCTTCACATTACATCTTACGGCAAGTGTAGCTTGGCTGCAAGGCGCAATTTCAGTTGCGCTGATTCACACACACATTGGAGCATCCAGCAGTGTGATTGGATGGGGATGGCTAACGTATGTTCTTCTACGCCGCCTTTTTTGACCTAAGCGTGTTAACGAGATTTTCACATGACGTCCATGGTCGGAGATTCTCGCGGACGCCGTAGCATGGGTCGTAGTACTGTGATCGTACCTGTTTCATGAGGTTTCTTGGGAATTTCGAATACGGGCGGGTCCCCAACAGCCGCTCGGATTGTTTGTTCGAGGTTGGCTCCTCCAGCGCTTTGGCTTAAAATCCTAACCACAAGGCAGCGGTGGCAAGTAAACTTATTTAATGGCGGTTTACGGTCGCCATGTCACAATGCCGTCATTGGTTTTTGCGGCATTTTATAAGGCTTTCAGCGTGCCAGACTTCAGCCCACCGCACCCTGGTAGCAATGTAGCACCCGGACATCGACTGAATGATCTCGACTATGCCGATGATATCGCCTTACGTGCTTCAAGTTTTGGTGATCTGCAGTCTATGGTGTCGCGGGTGAACGAGGTCGCTCAATCAGTCGGTTTGTCCATAAACGCTGGGAAGACCAAAGTATTCTCAAGCTGCATCCCTGACCAGGAGAAGGCACCCCTGGGGATTGATGCTTGTCAACTTGAAGAAGTGGACAGTTTTAAATACCTCGGGGCGAGGCTGCTGCCTAATGGACAGAGTAAGGACGACATTGTCTCCCGAATCGATGCTGCCCGCTGGGTTGTTTCAAGCCTTCGGAAATGCCTGTGGAACCGACGTAACCTCTCCATCGCCACTAAGATGCGCGTGTAGCGTGCATCTGTCCGGTCTGTCCTTCTCTACGGTTGTGAATGCTGGGCTTTGCGCGTGGAGGATGAGCGAAAACTGGGGATATTTGACCACCACTGCTTGAGGATCATCCTTCGAGTGAAGTTCATCGACTTCGTTTCAAATGAGACAGTCTGCGCTCGCTGCGACATCTCAAGGATAACTCAGGCCATCCAAGAAAGACGACTGAGGTGGTTCGGGCATGTTCTTCGTCGTCCACCTCAGAAGCTCAGTGTTACTGCCCTCGATCCGGCACCGGTGCCCCATTGGAGGCGTCGAAGATGGGGTCAGTTCAAAACCTGGCTCGACACTGTCCGTCAAGACATGGAGGTGGTTCTTGGACCTTCGGTATTCGGTCTCCGTCGTTGGCGAAGGGAATGGGTTGAGTTGTCTAGATCTGATGCCGCAGATCGTCACGCGTGGAGAGGTACAGTTCGGGACATCATCGAGGCCGGCTAGATCAGGCATGATCGCAGCCGTATCAAGTACAAGTAAGTAAGTATGGTCGGAGATTGCAAAGCGTCTATCTTACTAATACCCTTAGAAGGCTGAGAAGATTGGCCTTCTGCTTTGCACCACGCTAGCCGGGGGAAATTGCCCGGGTAATCAGGTATGAACGCATCAGTGTCGCAATAGCAAGTAGGCTGATATTTTCCAGCCGATTATTGGACAAGAGCCAAGAAGGAAAGAGAGCTCTCGAATGATGAAGTGGGGGGGGGGGGAGAAACAACTAGTCTGATCCTACATATGAGATAAATAAGGCGACCACCTGTTGGCGGAAACGAAGATGCTCAGCTGCGTCTTGAGATGGCTCGTAGATCAAAAAGGATAAGAAATAAAACAAAGCGTTTGTGGCCGACGTTCCCTTTGGCCTGCTCACGTGTGCGGGACGTGCCGAGTACTCGGTTGGTGGAACGACACCCAGAAGTGAACTCTGTGGTCTGGCGAAGGAGCAGTTAGGGATCATTGAGTGGTCTTACTTGAAAGTGTGGCTGGGCACCGATGTGGTGAGTCGGTTACTTGGTCACAGCCCAAGACAGAATTACACCGTGAAAATACGGTCGACCATACTCCAGCTGGTCTCGGTGAAAATTTCATTCGTGCTGTGTCGTGCGAGGGGACCGATGCATCCTAACTACAACTGGAATGGACATCAGGTATGCCAACCGACCTGAATGATAAAAGGAGGTAGTTCCTATTGCTTGCCGGAATAAGCACATTCGCAAAGATCCAGGACAAAAGTCTCTGACGACTCGCCCACTTATGCATCTGTCGGAAGTCCCGTTGATCCAGCCCAGCACAGGGGTAATGAAAGTGTCAGGATTCGATGTTCCTTGCTGCTACCTCTTTCACAGTGGTTTTTACGACGACATTGGCGGAGATGGCACCGCATTCCAGAAGGGAACGAAGAGCTCATGACACGTAAACGTTTCCTTTCCTTCACCGCCTACACGCGGTCAAATGGCGCTGTTATCTGCATAACAATGGCTGTCGTCCACGCTTCCGCGCCACACGCAGAAGGCCGTTGCAGCAAAATTGCTGCAGGTACTGGCAAAGGTGGCCCAGCAACTCACCCCATCCTCGAAACGTTCGTCCGAGCGGCGTTGGCGGTCGACTTCTTGGTTTTGCATAATCAGTCGGCTGGTCCCGACCAACACCTAGCAAACTAGGAAAATCAATGCAGCACTGGTCTTTGATTGGCTAATATCACCTATAACGATCGATTGTTCCGTTGCCGCTGTTAGCGGTGTGGATGGACCCATGCATGAGTTCGGTAGTTTAGAAAAACGCAGACAAATGGTGGAGGGCAAGGGCCAGTATTTTCTTTCTTACAACTGGACGCTTCACGCAACCTATTATGTGTGAACCAACCGACGGATGCAATAATATCGATTTTCCATTTAATGTTGCAGCAGCCTACTCTCGCCGGCCAGACTGACCAGCCATTGCAGCTGCACTCCCAGTCCGCCACTCCACACAAAACATACTAGGTCGACTGTGAGTTGGCAACATTCCAAGCCACGAATTTTGTCGCAACGTGATAGCATCAAGCACGTCAGATTGTTCATAGTGAGTAGCATGCTCTGAGACATCGACCTCATCCTCTATTTCCTTGCCCAGACCTCAGCCACTGTCCGAGCAGGTCAGCTGTTTGGTGCGGAGAATGAGCGCCTGCCACAAGTATAGCTCAGAGCACACACACGCACGTCCGGGCGGGCGGGCGGGGTAGCACCTGATTACCAAGACTTTCCTAAAAGCCATTCCGCCGCCAAATGACGATGTCTGTAAAATTTGAAATGGCGAACCTCTCAAACACCCCCATCAAGACATCATCTACGCTCTTGGTTTGCTGGAAAAGTATGACGTTTAGCCGCTTTGCGTGGAGGGGAAAGTGACCCTATATCAGAACGCCAGCAATGAGAGTTTGGCTACCCACATGGGACATAGTAAATGCGAACCCGGAGACTGGATATGGACTGGTGAGTAATACACGACGTTCCCTTATCTTTTGAGATTCAGGCTTCAGATTACTACTTATTCAGGCGGCACTGCTAATGAGGGCCGATCAAGACCGATATCGGTAGATCGTGACAGTCGAAGTGGGATGAGTCTTCACTATCGGTGACACGAGAAAGCCCTGCCAATTTTCTACACGCTACTTAAAGAGAAAGTCAGTGGTTAGGTAAACCTGTGGAACAAGGGCAGATCTATCCAACACTTCATTGAGGGAGTATTGGTGCATTGGAAAGAGTGCCTTCCGAATTGGCCAACCTGCCATATCTCGGTGCTGTACGTTACCACGTACTGCAAGAATTCGAACAGCAGTCAAGCATCTTCAGAATACTAGAACTGCAGCTGAGGCCGAATGGTTAGCCAAAGTCTATGAGAGGTGTCCTGATCAATGACGGAGCAGCTTGCGACACGAGAAAGCCCTACCAGTTTTCTACACGCTACTCAAAGAGAAAGTCAGTGGTTAGGTAAACCTATCTGAATCTGTCCGGGCCTTATAAATCACACGAAATGCCTCAGCGGGGTCCACACGATGTCCTGAATTCACTGCATGCGCAAGGATGCCGCTGTCTATTCTGTCAGTTTAACCTTTTGCCAGACATACGGGAAGGTGCTCTCGTATTCTTTTTGAAAAGCGCTGACTCGTATGACCAATATAACCTGCTCCACAGAAGCAAGTGAATGAGTAGATGCACATTGAGGCGGTGTGAGGTGGCAGCCTATCCTTGCCTTCTCTGCGTAAAATAGGGTTAGTAGAGAATGATATGCGAACCCTTGCTTCTGGGAAGGTTCCCGAGACAGCTTGGTCAAGGCGTATTCTTAGGAGTTCACTTGCAGCGTCTCCTCGGAAAGGAACTTGAAGGAACAACGCTTTCTTTTCGGCGGTCAGTGTGGTGCGTTTTGCGGGTCGTTCCGCAAGGTTCTTTGCAATGAAAATGTCAGGATACCCGTTTCCGCGAAGCATGTCCTGGATTTTTCAAAGTTCCTGCTCGATACTATCTATTGAACAAATTTGTATATCGAATTATCAAGCAACCCACCTGACAACGGAGAGCTGCGTCACGTCAAATCGTAAGTCAACCCGACGTATGCATTGGCGATCTCATTTCTGAAACCCAGCAGGAGACGGAAACGGGAACGCTCCTCGTAATACGGATGGCCTTGCGTTAAATTGCAGGGACACTAGAATTAGTGTTAAGACACGGGAATGGGTGCTCTTCCCGATACTAAGCGCTAGGCGATCCCTGTTCTCGTGTTTTTGCGAAAGTTCTTGTCGGATGTAACGACGTCTCGGCAATCACGTAAAAAGTTAACAGAAATTGTGCAGGTAGGCCTGGAGAGATTAATGGGCCCAGTAATCTTCCGTGTTGGAGCATTGGAAAGAGTGCCTTCCGAGTTGGCCAACCTGCCATTTCTCGGTGCTGTTGGTTACCACGTACTGCAAGAATTCGAACGGCAGTCTAGCAATTTCTGAATACTAGTACTGTAGGGGAAGCCAAAATGTTAGCCAAAGTCTATGAGTGCTGCTCTGATCCACGAGGAAGCCACATGCGACACCCTTCCAGCAAGCATACGCTGCCTCGAAGATGTATGTGAGTTTATTGCCCTTAGAAAAGGAAAAGCCAAGGGTGGCAGAGCCATCTCTGAGGAGGTCGACTGCGAGGTCAGAGTTATCCTGTTAGTTGGCAACATTCCAAGCCACGGCTTTGGGCGCAACATGATAGCTTCAAGCGCGTCAGATTGTTCATATTGAGGAGCATTCTCTGAGACGCCACCCTCATCCTCTACTCTCATGCCCAGACCTCATCCAACGTCTGAGCCGATCAGTTGTTTGGTGCGGAGAATGAGCGCCTGCCACAAGTATAGCTCAGAGCACACACACGCACGTACGGGCGGGGTCACACTTGATTACCAAGCCTTCCCTAAAAGCCACTCTGCCTCCAAGTGCCGACGTCTGCAAAATTTGAAATTATGAACCACTCAACCACCCCCTACAACACATCATTTACGCTCTTGGTTTGCTAGAAAAGTATGACGTTTAGCGCGAAGGGGAAATTGACCCTATATCAGAACGCCAACAATGATGGTTCGGCTACTCACATGGGACATGGTAAATGCGAACCCGGAGATTGGATATGAACTGGCATCACTCACCTGGCGAGTAGTACACGACGCACCCTTATAGTTTGAGATTCAGACTTCAGAGTACCACTTTTTCAGGCGGCACTGCTAATGACGGCCGATCAAGACCAATACCGGTAGATCGTGGCTGCAGAAGTGGCATGAGCCTCACTGTCGGCGACACGAGAAAGCCCTACCAGTTTTCTAGGTACTCATTAAAGAGAAATTGAGCAGTCAGGTAAACGATTAAAACGAGGGCAGGCCTATCCACCACTTCATTTAGGAAGTTATTGGAGGAGTGGAAAGAGTGCCTTCCGAACTACCCAGCCTGCCGTTCCTGGGTGTTGTACGTT